GCTTCCCGTTCTTCTGTGTCATGACTTCCCAATTACAGAAAGGCAACTAGTGTTTATTGGCAATTATTAGGAGCCAGACGCTTTGCATATGGCTTTGCATTTAGTCCTCTGAAAACCTTGTCAGACTGGGGTTATTATCTCCTATTATTTCGCCAGGCTGAGACCGGCTTGAGTCTAAGCAGAGGATGACAGATGCAGCAACAAAGCCTGTCCCTGTCTGGTCCTCAGGACGGCGCCTCTGCCACATCATCCTGTGGTCTGTCCGGATCCCAGCACTGTGGGCACACAGGCCCCCAAGATGAGACATGCTGGGTTGTGCCGGTTTTCTTAGACCTCACAGTGAATCTGCAGGAGTGCCTCTGCCTGGGCTCAGAGTGTGAGGTGCCTCCACCCTCATGCTTCCAATTCACAGTCCAGCAAATGCTTCCAATTCAAAGTCCAGCAAATGCTTCCAATTCAAAGTCCAGCAAATGCTACCAATTCAAACTCCAGCAAATGCCTGGGATTTAGAATTAGTGCATTAGGCTCACCCCAACCTGAGCTGTGTTGCTCACAGGTGGACCTCAGGCAAGACTCACGTCCTTGGCCTCTCTGGTCTGCAGTTCCAACCCCTACTCACCAGGCTAACTAGGGCTCTCTTGGTCTCTTTGACCCCAAGAGCTCCTTGCCATCATCTCCTCACCCTTCTGATGGGGCACGCCTCCTTTTCTCGGGAACCATCTCTTCGGTGGCAATAACCTGTCCTGTCAACCTTACTTATCTCAGATTTTATACAGGCACTTTCTACTTAAGAGTTGGCTCTGAGTCCAAGTGGAGAAACCAACTGTATCATCTAAGACACACAACTCCGAGCCTCCATGCCTTCGGCTGGAAAGTGGGAGGAGTGCCCATTTCTACCGAGGGTGGCTGTGATAACCAGGAGAGAGACCGCCTGGCACACACTAGTCTCAGTGGAGTTATTGCCCTGGGTGGTGGCCACCGCTGCACACCTGTGCTCACCATAGCACTGCGCTTGGGCCAGTGTAGCAACTTGGGTTCACAGTAGCAACAATCTGGTAGACAGTAGCGTGCACTCTTTCCAATTTTCCCCAGCCTCTGAACACAAATTCAGCCTCTTGGACTCTGAAGAATCACAATTTGTTTGAGTGGCCAGGGAGGACCCAGCCTACTGTGGGCCCTGAAGGAGCTGTTGTCCCTGACAGTCCCAGCTCCAGACCAGCACAGGTCCCAGGGGCTGCTGTCCATGCAGTACAAGGTGGTCCCGCAACGGCAGTGTGAACTTGGGCAAAGCAGGGCCTCATAGGGATGCAGCGTGAGCCACAGGTGCCAAAAGAATGACTTCAGTCAAAAGCCTAAGCCAACAGCCTGGAGTCTGAGACGCAACAGGTGAAAACCAGATTGTAGGTTAGAGATCCGTGCAAAGACTGCAAGGTGCCAAGCCTGCACTCTGCCTGCATTTGTTTCAGGGACCGGACTGAGAGCTGCGGGGGGAGATGTGGTGGGGGCGCAAGGACACTTTCAGGGTGCCATGCACCCCTGGTCCTTCCAAAACAGAGGCTCTCAGAGCATTGTGGTGGCACCTAGCACCACACTAGGATGGCAACAAACCTTTGTTCTGTGGGTCACATGATGACATAGCTGTGCGTACCATGAGCCTGTGCTGGTACTGAAAACCTTGTCTTCCCAGAGTACCCTGCTAACAGCAGCAGTGGAAGGCAGGTGCAGTGAGGGACACCTCACCCAGAGTGCTGGCAGCAGAGGGTGAGGAAAGGTGCCTGAGACCCGCTGCTGCTTCTGCAGATGCGAGTCTGGCCCGCCCAGTCCTGGTCTGTGCCCTGCTGACCTGTCTGCCTGCTCCCACCTTGCTTCCCTTTGAGGCCGGGGGATCCACTCAAAGTGTAAGTCAGACTTCTTAAGTGGGCCTCCTAAGGCTTGCTCCTGATAGTGGCCTGCACGGCTCTACAGAATCCAGTCCCTGCCTGCCTTTCTGATTTCTACTCATGCCATGTTTGCTAGAATAGTTCACAGAGTTTAAGCCGCAGCGACTCCTCCCTGGTCTTCATTCTCTGCTTAGGAACTTTGCACTGCATGTTCTCTTGGCTAAAAATGCTCTTCCTCAGTTCTCACCCCACTTCCCCCAGGAAACCTTCCCTGGGCACTGTAACCTGAGCAGTGCACTGCTCCTCCCCAAGTCTACCTCGCAGCCTCTCCTTTCCTTCCTTTCATTGCATCTGTTGCTGATGGAACTCGTTTTACTTGTTTACTCACTGTCATCTGCACATCCACCAGGATGGGAGTTTTGAAACAGAGGATCTGTCATTCGCTCCTGGATTCACTCACTTGCTCCATGATGCTTACTAAGCATCCAGTGTGGGCAGGACGTTGCTGGTCTGGGGACACAGAAGACGACAACATTTCAGCCTCAAGCAGGTACTTTTGAAATTCTTATTGTCCAATAAATGCCCACTGATGACTCAGAGAAGTGAATAAACCAAAAAGTAAGAGAAAGGTTGACTTAGAAAAGAAGTATATAGGTCACTTGTACATCGCTCATGGTAACAGTGAACGCTAATAAGAAAGCAGCAAGATGCTAATTGAGCCAGGCTGCAACACCTAGATCAAACAGCACTGGGCGAGAGAAAATGGGCTAGGAAAGGCTCCCTCCTTGGGATTTCTGAAATGATGCAGAAATCATGAAAATGTAGAACGTGGCTGGGAGTAACCAGCATGAAAATGCCACCTACATTTCTTCTACTACTCAGTGACTTATTAGACTAATTTACTAAGTGCTTTCCTTGACAAATGAAAGGAAACAGTATTTGCAATTAACTGCACTTGCACTGCTGGTTCCTAACAATAATTTTATGTGCAGGATTTAATGAATCTTTCAGGAATTTTCATAAACTGCAATGACCCAGAGCCAGGTTTAAGACAGTAAAGAGATAATGTTCTCAAGAGGCACTTCCAACAGTGGGAATGTCAGAAACTCAGATACCCTCTTCCTGGTCTCAGATCCTGCCTTATTTTTCACATGACACAGTAGCACTTCTCTGTGAGGTCATGTGGGCCTGTGGCTTTCTTTTCCATCACAAAATGAAAAAATAAACTAAATCCACATACAGAGAAAACTTAAGAATTCAGTCTCACAATGAGAAAGCCAGTGGGAGCTACTAAAGCTTGACATCTAGAGCCCTAGGAGATGGTGTGCGCTTTTTTAAAAAGTACACTCAATAACATGAAGTAACTTAATCTAGCATTGACTTCTGCTAGTTCGGTGGGGGGGGTGCTAAATTAATTATAGATTAAAATGCCTCATCCTAGCATATTGCATATTGATTTGTCCTTTGTGAGAAGATAAACATTTTTCTCTACAGGATAACTTCCACGTTATTTCTTACTTCACTTTTTCAGAGCACTTAACATTAAATCTAGATCCAGTCCAGCTAAACACAAACTTTGAATCCTTGAGTCTAAATTAATATTGTACTGCAAAACCAAAAAGCATGCTTGTGCCCACTGTCGGATAGTTACCCTGACATTCTCCAGGATCTTGTCAGAGATTTCTTTCCGTGTTTAGATGTCAAGATATTAATTGCTTTTTGCAATGGGCTGTGACTCATGCTTAAAGTAATTACTTTTCCTTAATGACTCAAGCAGGGAAGCGGGTGACATTTTTAAGTGGGAGAAGGGATAAAGGAGCCGACATGTTCTCTCTTCACTGTCCTCCTCCTCCATGCTGTGATTTCATCCATAAGAAAGGTGCTAAGATGACTTCCCTTGTCAGCTGCTACCCACTGCTTCCGAGGTGAGCACACCTGAGGGCCTCTGGGAGAAAATTATGCCGTGGCTGTGCTGAGTGAAAGGAAAGGACTGTGCCTCTGGGGAGAATAAAGAGCCCCAAAACCTAATAAATGGCGCCAATCAGTGGATAATCAAACGGGAAACAAACATCTTCACCTCCTGCTTCCTGTCAGGTACAAATATGAACTCCAGCAGGAGTGCAGATCTACAAAAAGTAAAACAGAGCTTCTAGAAGAAAACTTGGAGCATCTTCACAACTTTTCTTAAAGGTTATGTAAAGATTTCTTACGCAGGACTGAATTGCCAATCACAATGGAAAAAATAATGAATTTCTATATTAAAATCAAGAACTTCCATTCATCAAAATGATACCATCAAGACAGTAAAAAACACAGAGTGAAAAAACAATATTTGAGATAGATCAGACAAAGAATTCATTTGTGTAATAGATAAAGAAAAAACACAGAACCCAGTAGGAAACTGGATGTGAATGTAAACAAGCACTTCACAAATTTGGCAAAATAGAGTATCCAAATTGCCAGTACAGAAAGTAGCACATCTAATTAGTCATCAGAGAAATGCTAATTAAACACACAATGAGATTACACTACACACCCAGCACAATGTCTAAAATGGAAGACACTAGCAACTGCTGAGTGGAACCTGCGTGTGTACTGGCAGTGTCCACGAAAGCAAAGCGCTAGTGTGTCTCACAACACAGCAGTTTTGCTCCTAGGTGTCTGAGTTACAAAGGACACTGACCAGAACACACAGAGCCCAATGCAGATGCCACACAAATCTCTACTCAGCGATTGGATGGCCAAGTCAATCATGAGGTAATCATAAGAAGCGAAGGAGGTGGGGGTGAGAGGACTACAACCACAGCACGCAGGGGTGTCTCACCAACATCGAGCTCCGTGGAAAGGGACACAGGAGTCCACGCGGCCCGGCTAAAGTCACACACAGCTCAGAAACAGCTAAGCTAAGCTGTCTTCTTAGAGAACAGGAGGGTGTTTTTCCTTTGCAGGGCTGTTAGCTGGAGGGGCTGTCTGGGTGCTCGGATGTTCTGGTTTTGCTCTGGGTGCCGATTCCATGGAATTTTTCAATTTGTGAAAAAACATCAAGCTGGACACTCACTGTGTATGCATAAAACTGAACACTAACAATCTGCACATAGAATAAAATCTCACTGCAAGATATTTTATAGTTTCCAGTTTATTTTTGATTATATTTGGAGAGGCAGATTTTACATGATAGCTTCAAACCAACCACTGTACATTAACCAAATTTTACATAAGCCATTTGAAAAAAGATCTAAAAATGTGCTTAGTTATTGGTAGTATATAACGTTTATCAAGCACCAAGAGTGTGCTGAGGACTGTACAGAACAAATGCAGAAAAGACAAGGTCCCTGCCTTCGAGGGTGCCCATCCCGTAGGGTCTTGCTCATAAAACTTCACCTTGTATTTCACACTCTCTTGTTCATAAGGCATAAATAAGGAAGTTTGTTGTCTTTCTCATTGTTACTGAATAAATAGGTAATACACTGTTACCCAGGTATGCCAACAATCACTTGTATCTCTGCCTTTAAATATAAATTTCTGTGGTACAATATACAGTATATATTGATTTGGTATTCACACAACTGATCACAATATTCTTGCAGGTTGGTTATAATATGAAGCACATTGAATTTCAACATTCACAAATTTTTATACCACTTAATAGAATCTTTTACTGATGGCCGAGGGTTTTTTGTTTAAAAACAAACAATGAAGTGTCACTGTCAACAAAAAAACACCCTGCCTGGATTCCAGTAAAGGTATCAGGCTATGGCACGGACATCTAGGATAATGATTTAACACACGGACTAAACTAACCTTGCAGATATCAGTCACTGAGCTGCATGCCCTAAAGTACTTATGGTCAGTGAGGAATGGGTGATATGAGTATGACTAGCTTCATCGCATTTCCAGGTTAAACAAGGGAATATTGGTATAAAATGTCCGATATCTGTGAGCTGGGAAATTTTCTTTCTTTCTTTTTGGCTTTTCTGCAAGGCTGTCTTCAAAACAAAATCAGGTTAGCAAAGAGGATAAAATAATTCTGAATTTAATCATTGGCTAAGGACATTTGATTTCAAACTAATCTCACTCAATAATACCACCTGATTGTTTATTTTTTTTAAATTCAAGAAAAATGACAGGAATTTTGATTGTGTAGAGTATAAGACTTGGGTAGAAGAAATTGTACTTTACATAACAGTGCCACAGAGCGTGGCGGAAGACAGCCCCAGTAGAGCAGGCAGGACAGCCCTTGTCACTGAAGCCTAGATGAGGGAAAGAAATGTTAGAGGAGTGGACAGCTGCTTCCTTTCTGGCCAGACTCCATCTTACTGCACTGTGCAAAGTGAGGGATGGGAGGAGCTGGGAGAGTGTGGAGCCCAGAGGAAGCGGGGTGGGGCAGGCTTGGGTCAAGGGACAAAGGGCCCAACTTTGAATGTCATCTTTACAGATCCCCAGACCCCAAGCATCCATGAGCCCTGAGAATGGCAAAGGTCCATCCTTCAACACCAGACATGGTGCCCATCTCCCTTTTGGCCTTGTTACCTACTGTCCCAGGGCATTACCAGGTCTGGATGTTTCCATTAGGTAGCAAGAATGGTGAGCTGTATTTTTATAGTTATACTACCCTTAGAGCAAGACTGACTTCCTCTGGCCACCGCCCAAGACATGAAAAGGGCAGAGGAAAATTCTACAGCTCCCTCCCACTTCCATGCTGGAGGTGGGGTTTCTCCTCAGAGGTAACTAGGCACATGTCCCAGACAGGACCCTGCAGGAGCAGCTTCACCCATGGGCAGTGACAAAGTAGGTGGGTCCAGCCCCCAACATCCCACCTGCTAGATGGAGGAGTCAGGTTGCGATGTGATAAGATTTTCCTTATACTGGTGAGCACATCTTTACTGCTCTGCAAACCACAGACCAAGAGGTTGGGAACTACTATCTCTGTGTTCTGACAGATTAATCTTGACAAAGAGCAAGGTGGCAGGATTAGAATGTGGTGTTGTGTCTCACTGGCTGAGAAGGACAGCAACTCTCAAGGGTGTCAATTAGTACCTCCTTTGGAGTGAAAGAAACAACATTATTTAATGTGCCCAGTCAAAAATGGGGCACCAGAAGACTAAAACTCTGACAACAGACAATAATATCTAGACAACTTTTTTCATTTTCAGTTATAAATCCTCCACACTAAGGCTTAAGCTTCAGTTACCTAATTGAAAATCTACACACAAACGTGAAAGTAGAAATAGGTAACATGAAGACCTCTTAAATAAGGGTTCCTGCAAATGACATCATCCATCCTTTGTTAACATCAAAAACTGCGCTGACTGCCCCTTAGTAGTGGACAGTGGATTAGACGCAGCAAGCTAAGCATTGTTTGGGAATGTTTAGGATGAATGCTGGACTCCTACTGCTTTAAAAACTGAGATGTTTTCCAAATCTGACCTGCAGGAATTTATCATTCCATTTAGAAAGACTATCCTGTCAAAATTAACGGATATCCTACTTTGTTATCAAAAGAATTTAAGGTTGCTAGTTTCCATCATCTTTTCTTTAACATGTAACGAGACACGAGATGCAGGTGTTGGCCAGGGTTTGTTCTGTCCCCTTATTATCTGAGCACCATGCTGCAGGTGGAAGCCAGATCACCCTCTGACGAAATTACAGCAGCTTCCTGTACATTGGGAAAACTTGTTCTCCCATTACTCAACAGAGAAGACATAGATGAGAATTAGGGACCCAGACAGACTGTAGCTAGATAAATGGTTAAATAGATGCTATTTTTTGCACTGCTGACAAGTGTTCAAACTGTTGAGTAGTGTTGGGTAGTTGAGAAGACCTCAGTGCCAGCATCAGATTGTTGAACAAGCTTTCAACATCTTCTTAAAGCAATTGGGAAAGCCATGAAAACCATGGTTGTAATGTTGACATTCTGCCATTGTCTCTGCTCTTCAAGGCACAAGGACAAGTTCCAAACTCCTCAGAGTAGAGCATCTGGTACCACTGGGAGAGACAGTCAAGGCATGGGGCCACACGCCAAAATGAGAAGGAGCCCCTGGGGGCAGCTCTGACTTCTGAGATGCTTCCCAGATCCCACCAGCAGCCAGCAGCTGCTGCACATCATGGGCTGGGGACCAGAAGGTCTCCAGGCCCAGGTACTTGGCCTGTTCCACAGAAAGAGCACACTTTGGGCCATATTTGGCTTGCAAGCCCGCTCCTTCCACCCCCGGCACGAGGAGGATGGTAAAGCCTGCGCCATGAAGATCTGTAGTGAGGCGGATGCTGCTGTGGTGCTGAGAGAAGGGCAAGAACCCCTTGAGAGAAGTTGGGGAGAAGTCAGGTCCTGGCAGGACACATCCTGCTCTTCACCAGCAATGGCTGCAGAGAGGAGGCAAACAGCCCACCCCTTGGTTTCTTCTCTCCCTGTCTCCTGGGTTACCCAAGGAGACATGTATTAAATACCCTCCATGTAACTTATACCCACCTTAAACATCACCAAATGGGAAGAACCCAATTAATCTTCCCTTTTTTGCTTAAAATATTCAATTTGGATTTACTGATAGTCCATTACATTCTTTTGGTAGGAAAAGATATTGCACTTCTAAAAATGCATCAAGAGTGTATTACATCAAAGTTAATAGGTAGGCAGATGTCTGGCTAGAGTATACACACTCTGAAGACCACCTTCCACATTTGCAGAAAGCTTCCACTGACTTCATCTTTGCTTTCATAAACTGCGGTCACACTGCTGCAGGCTTTTAGAACACAGAGGAAGACACCAGATGCCATAAGCTGCACACAGCGCCAGTCCACGGGCTCACGACTTCATGGTGCAGATGGGCACAACAATGACCAGGATAACGGTGCACGTAGCAGCGGCAATCAGAGCAGCTATCTTGCAGACCTTGGCTCGTCTGAATTCAGCTTCTTTCCGTTTCAGTAGTGAATCGTAGCCTGGAGTATAAATGTCTTCCATCCAATACTCTAAGTTGTTTGGATTTAAAGATTCTTGTGTCTAAAAGCGAAGAGAAGATGTTAGAAATATGGTGAGTAGTTGAACCAGGTCAGAGACTTTCTGACAGTTGTCATTCCTGAAGCTTTAAGAGCTGTCTGCAGCTGGGAGCTGGCAGTGACTGTCAGATATACAGCCCTGATGGCTCTGTGCCCTCCATGGCTACCACCAACTCGGCTGCACATTACGGATAGCCCTGGACCCTGCATTACTCAGAACGCCACAATGGTGACTATGATACAGGCAACACCAGGTGTCTCCTTCTGTAAGCAAGCAATGCAGGGTCGGGACAAACAAGACTGTAAACATCAACAGCATGCAACCAAGGATGGGCTGGTCCCACTGCCAAGGAAGAAGGGAGCTTTAACAAAACACTCTTTGCCCCTAGCTTCCCAGAACAGACCTGCTGGAAGCAAGGCCATCATAGGACTCCAAGTCAGCTCCCGTTTCTCAGAGGCTTCTACTCAATATCAAGGCACCTTCAAGATAAGCAGCTCAAACAAAACATAAAATATTTCAGCTTCAAACCCTTGTTGAGCAGGTCAGGCTCAAAGTCAATGTCTAAGGACCTGGGGCCTAGTGACCCTGGCCCAGGCCAGCCACAGCAACCTTTATGGGTGGGGTGAAGCTGGAAGAGATGGACCCAGGAATGGCTGTCTCCTAGGCCCCAAGATTAATGAACTATCTACAGGAGAAATGCCCTGTTTAACATACATTGCCCAAGAGCCCTCTTCCATGTTGATGCTGATAATCTATTTCCACGGAGAAAGGCAGTGTCTTGCTTTATGGCAAGCATTTAATAATGTCAATGTCACATAAAGGGATGATGCCTTGCACTTCCAAGCCAGATCGCCTGAACCTCTGAAACAAACCAAATACCCATTTTGAAGATTTCTCTTGGATTGTTTAATGTTCATACACACAGGAACACACACACACATACACACTCATGATCAAAGCCAAACCCTTCACTACCTTAACAACTCAGTTGTAACAAGCTGTCGGGGGAACACTGACTCTGGGGCGTGCTAGGAGCTTTCCACCTGCACCTTCGCTGTGCCCCAGGATATGGATCCACGTGGTGCTTCGTGAGTCCCTGTTCTCCATCCAGCTGTGGGTCAGGCAGGGGTACGGAGGGAGGAGGGCAGAGGCATTCGCCCCTTCAGCTCCGTGCCTGCTGTGCTGCAGCCTGGTTCCCAGAGCCACCAGTCTCTACAGGTCTCAGAAACAGCTCTCACCCTGGGCTGCAAACCCAGAGTGGCAGCAGCTTCTACCTGTGCGGCTCTGGGGCACAGGGCCGTCCTGGGCCCTGAGTGTGCTGTCTGCTTCCTCACAACCCCAGCCTCGCCCTTCTCCTCCTGTTCTCTGCAGATCCCTCCTCAATGGGTTTCTGCATTTGTAAATCCTTGGGAAAAAATCCAGTGAAGAGTACTACGCTGTGGCCGGGCACACTGAAGGTGGAGAGGTGGAAAGAGCCTGCTTTCCTCCCCAGCCCCCAGGGCTGGCTCAGATGGAACAGTGTGTGCAGGGAATGTCAGGTGCTGTGTCTTGTTCCCTCCGCCTCAACTAGAAGGAATCAACTTCCGCTCAGAGCTATCGACACTGTATTACAGGCTAGGATTCTGCCTGTGAAACAAACTATTTTTAATTAGTTTTTTCGGTAACTGCAAGCTGTAATGGTACCACACGGCATGGAGGTAATCTCAAGGTTCCCAGGGCTGTGAGGGGAGCCCCTCATGGCTAATCAGGCTGCCAGACACTGGAAATAAACATGGCCACACCTTTGCCTGTCCCTGCCAGAGGAACCACCAATGGCAAATGCACATCTGGACAGCAGGGACCTCCAGATGCTCAGCTCATCCGAGTCAGTACCTGCCTCTCAGAAAGTCAGAGAACAAGGGAAAAGGATGCCTCTTTGCTTCTTCGAGGCAGACACCTCCCAAAGCATCGCACTGCTCCCCTGGAGTGTAACTGGATGCTGCATCCTTTGCATTGTATGGAGTGTTACTCAGAGTGCAATAACCTGTTATTATTATTTTATATCTGCCTCTGTGAACATTGGGACATTAGAATCACACACATCTGTACAGATAAAACTGTCCAGCTCCTGCCCCAGCCCTTAAAAACATGTTCCTCGGGCTCCCTTGAGTCATCAGACTTGCTCAAGGCACACTGTGGCACCAGAAGTCCTGGGGATCCCACCAGTCAAATCTTTTGCACCTGGGGTCCTCTTTAGCAGCCTGGAGGCCTGTGGCTGTCTGACCCCCACACAGCGAGGTGCACACACTCAGCACAGCCACGCTGGGAGCAGCGTGTGGGACGTGCACACATGGAGTCGGGCCCTGGGGGCACTCGCTGCCCCACAGACCTGGGATCTGACAGAGCTGCCCCTGTAGCCACTGCCACTTAGGGCCCAGATGCACAAGTGCTGCTGTGACCATTTGTTTGGGACACGGAGCCCTAGTAACTCAGAAGAATGGACTGGCATGGAGGTGAGACACGAGGAAGAGCAGGAGACCGACCGGGAGGAGCCAGTGTGAGTTCAGGTTTGCTGACCTGCTGCAAGTGACTAGCTTCCCAACACCTCAGTTTCTTCGTTTATGAACCAGAGGTGGTGGTGACAATCGCTGCCCCTCAGGCCACTGTGCCTGGCCCTGGGTGACTCCTGGCAAGGGCACCATGCCAGGCTGGCTGATTTTGGCACTTTTTCCAGAGGTCTCCCTGGGGCCTACGCAACTCCAGGGGCTTTGGGCAGACTGCTCTGGTCCTCTGGGGATGCTGTGACTACAGCCCACTGCATAGGTGAGGCCAAGCTCAGAACCCAGTGCTGCCGCAGCCCCGTCCTTCCTCTGCCCCTGCACAGACCTCTGCATCGCAGCTTGACCATGCAGACAGCCTCCCCACACCGAACCCCCAAAGCCCTCACCACCCGCACCTCGCGTGCACATCGTGCTGGGTGTGAACTGGCCCTCGCTGCCCACAAAGCCTCGCCCACAGGTTCGAACAGGCGCTTCCCTGGGGTTGTGGTGATGTGGAGGCACAGGGAGAGGTGGGGGGACTAGGAACCAAGCAGCAGAGTAAACGTGAGGCCCGAACCCAGCCCTGCCTGCCCTCTAGCCACACAGGCATTCCCAGATCTTCCAGGCATGGCTCTTACCTGGGGCTGCTCCGTATGGAAACATAATCCATAGCTCGGCTCCCACAAATATGCTTATCCCACGCGCTACACAGGGAGGGAGAGAGCGGCTTGTGTTTCATGAGGCTGTTTGGCTCAGGTCTTGCGAGCAAAGATTAGAATCTGCACTTGGTCTTAAACGTATCATTAGCAAATCAGGCGGCCCGCAAGTAAGTAAACAGACAAAGCAAGCATCCCCACTGCTAAGGGTTTACCAACAACTAAGCAAAACAACCATCCCTTCGTCAAAAGTCTTCTCTGCTCTCTGGTTCACTAAGGCTCAGCACTGCATGTCAGGGCCCAGGAGTCAAAGCGCAGGGAGTGTGCTGGCCTAGGCCGCCCGACCACTCCTGCACCTGTGGGCAGCAACAGAAGGCTCACCTGCAGGTCCAGGGCCGCCAGCTTGCTCTTGTCGCCGGCATTGCGCGCGTACTCCTCCACCGTCCAGGAGGGCTGTGCCCGCCGCACCTCTGCCAGCTCCGTCAGCCGCATGTCCGTGTACAGGGGGTTGCTCTTCATGTGGGCCTTGAGGGACGCGGGGTAGGGGTGGGGGCTGAACACCTGCTCCACAAGGAAGCCGTGCCTGGGCTGCTTAGGCAGGCGGTGCTGCGGGGGGGCGTCGTGCTGCCCGTCCGCCTGCAGAGGGGACAGAGAAGGCAAGAAGCGTGGCTCTCGCAGCGCCACTGGGCAGCCAGCAGCATTGTCCCCAGGCCCTGGTGATGCCACGCGAGCAGCATGCAGCTACTCAGGAGAGACAGGAAGAGTCGGGTGCTGGGGAAGCCTCTTCTGACCCCGACAGAGCTAAGGTTTCGATCCTGGAGCAGGACCTTCACTCTCACTCATTCGCCCGGCCACACTGCGCGGTAGGTGTCCTCAGAGTTCGCAGCAGGGCCGCTGACACTCCCTTCTGCTTTCCGGCCTCAGGTCTCCACCCTTCCCCCCCTGCAGCAAGTCCTCCCTGACCTGCCGAGGTGGTCCATGTGTCGTCCCGGGACTGGTACCGACCCCTTGGTCAGTGTGTGTCACACTGCACGGTCACTGCCCATTTGCCTGTCCACGTCCCTGCAAGGCTGGGCAGCCCCTGAACAGAGGCGCATCTCCCCACTTTTAGTGCAAAGCTATGCCACTGAGCAGAGCACCTCCCCTCACTGTTCACCAGAGGGCGCGAAGCACGGACAGGAAGCTGGATGCGTGAGCTAGAACTGCCGGCGGGAAGGGCAGGAAGAAGGAGCGTGCAGATGTGAGGGTGTGGAGAAGAGGAGCACAAGGTCTTGAGAGGCACAGGCCAGCTCGTGGCTCACAGCGGCCCACTGCTGTCCCACAGAGACCATGGTGTCTGCTGCCGCACCCTTCAGGGCCACTGGCACAGACAGAGAGTGCGGACGAACTCAGTGACACCCCAGGGAGAACCAGGGCTCCTTCTGCTGCTGTTCTAAGCCTGGCGCAGCCCGCTGACTTTACAAACCTGCACACCCCCTGCCCTGGCCCTGTGTGGCCGCCACTGTGCCCACGGCCAGCACAGCAGGGGCCGGGCAGTAAGGACACCCACAGCAGCAGCCCTGGCACAGCGAGCACCCTGGGCTGACCGGCTCTGCCGCCGGCACAGCCTCTTGCTGGCCTTCTCTGTGACAGTCCCCACTGCGCGTGTGGAAACTCAGGTCCAGGTCAGAGAGGGTGAGAGAGCGGCTGAGGCCGCACAGCTGCCGAGGGCCAGGCAGTACGTGCGCAACAAGGCCTCAGCTGCTGCTCCTGCACCAGGGAGTCTGTGTCCCCACTGGGCATCGCTTTCTGTGTGCAGCACGTGTGCCCTGACCCCTGTCTGTGCAGCTCCGTCTGGACAAAGAGGCCCAGGACGCACACAGCAGAGACCAGTGGCTTCCAGGGACTCACGGCAGAAGAGCACAGAGGACTCAGATCAGCAAAGGGGTGGAGCCACCACTCCTTTTCATTTTTTTTTTCTAGTACCAAGGACTGAATCCAGGGCTTTTACACTGAGCTACACCCCAGTCCTTTTTAAATTTTGAGACAGGGTCTCTCTAAGTCACTACATGGCCCAGGCTGGACTTGAACTTGGGACCCTCCTGCCTCAGCCTCCCTGAGTGCTGGAATTACAGCCCAGCTGGGTCAGCCATTCTTGATGGAGGAACCCTGGAGGTAGGGTGGGTCCCGGCCACGACAGGTGCTTGATTGGCACCACTGACTAAGTGTTGGAGGGAGGGAGCAGGGCTCAGGGTGGGCAGCGTATGCTGGCTGGGGAAATATCTGAGACCCACAGAACTGCAAAGTCCAGGGGAAGAAGCCTGACGTTTTCTCCTACAGCAAAGAAAGACAGGCCAAGGAGGTGTTGGGAACACCTCAGCTGCAGAGAGTAGAACTGGGAATGTGAACGCAACGGCCCTGAGCTGGGGTGGAGGGGGAGTGAGCCTCAAGCCCCAGGGGCTGTGCTAGGGCCTGGCAGGCTGGGGATTCCATGGAGGGAGGCGGGGGTGCAGAAGACATCACAGAGATGGGGCCACTGGGTCCGGATCTGCACAAGAGTCCAGCCCAGGACAGAGAGAATGGTGACCCCAGCAAGGGGGGCAAGGAGGCGGGGCACAGGTGTGCAGCACAAGGGAAAGTGCGATTTGAGGCCTGGGGGACATATCCGAGGCCTTCAGCACATGGAAATAGGGGTCCCAGCTGGGCACCACCACGGGAATCACCAGCCCAAAGGAGGGGAGAGCCCAAGGAAAAAGTAGGGTCACAGCCAGGCTGGGTGAGGACGGCACACTCCAGTGACGCCCGGCGAGGCTGTGGCCTTGTGGCTTGTCAGACTTGACCTTCCCGTGGAGGCACACACTTGTGGGAGCACCCTCCAGGCCGCTTCCCGTGCTGTCTGGGCTCCTGGCCTACACTAGCGGCATGGACCAGAGGACAGGGGCAGTGCTGGGCACTTCATCTGAGGGGCAGACGGTGCCCTCTGGCCAAGGCCTGCAGCTCGGTGCCCACAGCTGCGGGGGTCAGGGAAACAAACGACTTCTCCATGTGCTTGTTCACTGCTCTGGGCCCTGCAGCTGAGCAGAACCCTGTTTGCCAAGCCTTTCTTTCTTTGCACCATTGAAAGACACAGCCTCCTAGGCCTGGATGCCACGCCTCTCTCCCTCCTGGACAGCCGGCAACCTTCAGAAGCCTGGCCAGTGACCTTCAGATGGGAGCAGGGGTGGGAAGAGACCAGCGACAGACTAGAGCAGCCAGAATGGGCTTGCCAGAACCCACCAGGAGCAAGGAGGAGGCGCTCCGGGCCCTGCTAGAACGATCCTCTGGCTTGGGGGGGCAAGGGGCAGCGCTGTGTGTGATGTGAATGCATGGGTTCTAGATCGAGAGGTGTGCAAACAGCCGCACACACGTGCAAAGCACAGAACACGCAAACGTGCAGGGGAGACAAACTAAAAAGGAGAGGAAGGTCACATGTTAAGAGCAGGAGGTTTTGCATGATAGAATGAGGAACTATTTCCTTATTCACCTTCTCTTCTTACTAATCATCCATCATCTAATAAAAAAAAAACAAACCCATTCTTTTTTTTTAAGGGAACATCTGGCTTGTAGCAAACCCACAAAACGGGCAGGTCAGCACTGCCCACTGCCCCCCTGGGCCTCGGCCGGGACAGGAAGCTGTCCTCTGTGGTGTCCACCTGCCCACCACACAGCCTTCTACGAAAGCCATCCTCACGCCACCTGCCCAGTTGCCCGAGCACGCCGTCTTCGGCTGAGAATTGCAGTACGGGTTCCCATGGTTGACTGACAGCTTGGCCCATGTCACCCCCGCATCCTAGGGGAAAGCCAGCCAGGCTGGAAGATGACCAGCACAGGCAGCCAGCCTCACTCTGGCTTAGGGCAAAGCTCTCAGCTTGGACGCACACCAAGGTTGTGCTCGTGCTGTGCCAACCGCTCGGGCACAAGCCCATTACCTCTTTGGATTTCCGGTGCCAGTCCTTGGTGTCTCCTGGGCCGGCGTCCTTCACCTCCTCCTCGCTGGGGCCCACGCGGCTGCTGTAGGTGATCGTGCGCCAGTCCCGGGGGGAGTTGGAGATGCTGGCGATTTTGGACTCAGTGGCACTGTTCTCCTCAGTCAGGGACCTGGACGACGGCCGGGCGAACAGGCTTTTCTTCAAGGCCTTCACTCGCAGGCTCTCTGTGTTGCTGCCACTGGCGTCTGAGCAGCACCACTCTGCACCGGGCTCCAGCCGGGGAGTGTGGGTGCTGTCATGGGCGCGGAACCCCCTGGGGGAGGCGCTGTCGTCGGACGGGGCCTCACTGGTCAGAGAGTTCAGATCCATCTGCATGTGCACCTGCTCTGGTTGCTGCATCTTCTGATCCAACTTGTTCAGCTTGCCCAGGACCTGGGAGATCTCCTCTCGGACGCCTGACAGCGACTCAAGCTTCCGCTCGATCTCCCCGATCCTGAGCACCAGCTTGCACACACTGGTCTTCAGCTCCTCCTCTGAGCGGTGCAGGTTTTCAGGCCGGCTGCCCTTGTCTGCCTTGCTGTTAGGGCCCCTGCTGGTGAGTCTGGCGAGGTTGTGCTCTGGAGAGCTGTCACAGTCCGACTTGTGCAGCTGAGACAGGGACCCAGTGCTGTTGTAGCAGGATGACTGTATGAGCCCGGTGGAGCCGCTGACGCTCATGTCGTCGAGAAATCGGAAGATGTCACTGATGTCATCACTGACGACCTCCGAGTCATCGTCCGAGTGCTTCCCGGAGTGTCTGTCTCCATACTTGCCCTGGGCCGCCGCACACAACTCTTTGCATTTCTTGGGCTCCAGCGTGTGCTGCTCCGTCTGGGTGCCCACGCTGCTGGTGTCAGAGCTGACCTGCCGGCTGTCACAGGCGATGCCCTTGTCCTTGAACTTCTTCGGCGGCCCGCGCTTCTCCAGGTCCATGGGGGACGAGAGCTCCTTGGGTTTGAGCCCATCTGGCTTGGTTGCATAGCCAACAGGTAGAATTTGCTGTGGATCCTCTGGCACCAAGTAAGCTGGGTGCCTGTCTGGGGCTGAGAAATTGGGGGTCTGGCTGCTGGGATTCGGGTAGTGTAGCTTCTCCTCGGAGGGATTTCTGTTGAAAAAGGACCGCTCAAAGTCTGGGACCTCTTCGGTGTTGAGGCTCCAGCTCTTGACTGGCCAGGGAGTCTGCTTGCTGGGCCTCCCCAGACAGTGCCTGGGGTCCTGGGTCCCCATCACTGGAGTGGGTCCAAAGTAAGTAGAGGCTTGGAGATCGTCCAAGCTCTCATGCTTTGCCCGCCGCTTGTCAGGCACAGGGGAATACATGGGGTTCAGGTACTGGCTGTGGTAGGGCATCTCGAAGCTGTGATTGAAGAAGGGCGGCTTATGGGGCTCCTTCCGGCCCTGGGGCTCCCTGCACTCACCCTCTGCCTTGTTGCCTGGGCCAACCAAGCTGGGAGACACTGGCATGAGGTTGTGAAAGTCCTCCTTGAAGATGTTCCTTTTCTGCACACAGGACGGGACCACGAAGGGCTCCTCGGGGGCACTGAAGGCCTCCTTGCAGCCCTGGCTGATGGGTAGGGGCTCCTGACCTGACACAGACTCGCTCTCCAGGTTCATGGGGAAGTACGTCCTCTGCATCTCACAGGGCTGTGGACTGGCCACCGAGTACGGTGCCAGGGCCTGCAGTCTGTCGAGGGAGGCAGCCCTGCTCTTCCCCTCCTTGCTGACCCCCAGCAGGAAGCTGGGCTCAGAGGCAGGGACAAACTGCGGACAGTCCTCGCAGGCCCTTTTCCGGCACTTGGCTGACTGCCGCGTGGGGTACCCTCGGCTGAAGGGCCTCTCGCTCACTTCACAGGTCAGAGGCTCACACTCGGCCATACCACAGACCTCCGTGTCCGACCTGCACGATTCAAAGGAAGCCCCCTTCTTGCGCACCTTGGGGCGGCCCGTGGGCAGCTTCTCCGTGGCGGCGCCCCCACTCATCTGGATCAGGTTGAATATTGTCACGATATCTGCTGCCACCATGATCTTCTTTGACTGCTGGTTATTCACAGCGGATTTCATCTTGTCTTTGAATAACGTGGCTGGGAAGTTGGGATCGAGACAAGCCGTGTAGTAAAGCACGCTTCTCAGTTTGGTGAGCTGGGACAGATCAAAGCGGGCACACAGAGACCTGCACAGGTCCTGGTAGGATACAGTGTTCTGCTTGCTGTCCAGCTCCTCTAAGATCTTCACCAGGAAGAGCGACGTCTCCTGATTCACCTCCATGACTTAGGGTTTGGAAGCTTGGCTGATTTGGCTGAAACTCTGGGTCGGCTCTGCAATGACGGCATCAAAGAGAAGGGAGGGAAAGAGAGTTACGGACACGAGTGCAGCTCTAAGTCTTGCTTGGTAAACTTGAAACACATGGAAAACACTTTAATGACTAAAAATGTATTAAAGACTTAAAAAATATAACACTTGCTTTAGCAATTCTTTTCCCCATAATTATTTCAAAGGAGCAATGGATTAAAAAATGATGCATGAAGATGTTCACTACAATAGGATATATAATGATGAAGAAGCAAAATACTGCAATAGCCAATTAATAAAGAAAACACAAAGAGAGCAGGCACGATAAGCAATGAAGTGCTGCAAACATCATACACTAATGTGTGTTCTAGCAAAATACTACTCATCACTGAAAAGAATCAACTACCAGAACCTGCAGCAGCGTCGCAGAGTCATGAAGTGAGAAGAGCCGGAGCCCCGGGCCCCAGACCACGCTATGCCCCGGCTCTGCTTTGCAGAGCTCTGGGAAACAGACCAACATCTGCCAGGAGCTGGATATGAGAGGAGAGACTGGTCTACGCGGGCATGGGGAACTTCCCAGAGCAATGGGTCTATTTTACACGTTGGTGGCTGGAGTGGTCACATGACTACGCATTTGTCAAAACTAAAGGAAGTGTACACTGCGGCGTGAGAATTTCACTGTGTACAAATAACACTGTGACTTAAAAATTCCATAAAACTTTTTCTGACAAAACTATAATACTGAGTCAAAAGTACAGAAACGAATCTGTAGATGTAAGATTTTAAAGTGTGCTACATATTATTGGAAACAACAATGAAATGTTAAGTGTTTCCATTTAGATTTTTAAATATGGACTTTTTTCTGGATTAGGACTCCCTTTTCCCAAAAGTTCATAGTACGAATTTTTAAACATAAAGCAAGCTTGAAAATATTTTAAGTGAACACCTATGTACCCACCATCTGGATCCTGTCATTAACATTCTACTATATTTCCTTGATCACATATCTATCCAGCTACCCATCATCAACCCATTTTACTTTTTTATGCACTGCCAAGTAAATTGGAGGCATCTGTATATGTCTCCCTAAATACTTAGTTATGCATATCACTTATTCAAGTTCAATAATTGCTTAGTTTTTATTTTCATATAAAATTTGCATACAATCATACTAAGTGTGCTCTGGCTGAAATCCCAAAAAATATGTAACCAATACCTGCATAAAAAGTTCTACAAAGTTCCCACCATCCCAAAAGTTCCCTCGTGCCCATCCCTGCTCCAGGCCCTGTTCTTTTGCTAATACGTAATTACTACATTTCTTTATAATTTCCTGCCTTTTCTAAATTCCTGCAGTGAGCACACATTATTTTGTAATCACGACAAAAATAATGAGTCTTGCTTTGAAATGGAATGGAAAGCCAACACGAACTGATCTGGGCGGAAAAATTAAAACCATCAAAGCAATCATTTAACAAGACTTCATGAGAGAAGGTGAAGAGTGGTTTCTTGTACGTACTCGCTTGTCTCCCAGGAACGTCTGGATGGACAGCACAGACCAGTGGTCTGCACGAAGCCTCGAGTTCTGCTCCTGCCCAGAACGGTCACCCAGAAACCCACTTCTCCTACCCAGTGCCCAGCCTGCCCAGCCTCTGATCCCGCTGACAAAGCTCACTGAGCCTGCGACTTGCTGAGGTGAGGACAGCTGTCATGCTGGGTCACACGGAAGTAAGTGGGGTAGCATAGTAATTGACGGACAGCAAATGCAACACAGGTAATAGTATCTGATGCTTTTGGTGACACAACACACGCTCGCAGCTGCTCTTCTCTTTAATCCCTGTGACCACTGTAGAAGGCCTGCTTCACGTTCACTGTGACTCTCTGGCAGATGTGGAACTTAGGGCCCTGGCAATGCGCTCTAAAGCCAGGGCTGAGGGCTGAATTCCTGCTCCACCTTCCCGTCACCCCACCTCCAGGAAAGCCCACCACACTGCTGCCCTTAGAAACTGTCTCGACTTTCATTCCTGCTTTGCATGGCAGGAATTATAGTCCCAGACCAAAACACCACTTGAAAAACCAAGGCCCAGGGCCAGGGATGTAGCTCAGCAGCACACGCACCTACCTGGCAAGCGCAGGGTCCTGAGTTTGATTTCTGATACCCAAAAACCAAGAAAACTAAGGCCCAGAGCCTGCTGAAGTGCACAGCAGGAACACATACACTATGCTAAGTATGAGGCATTTTTTATCCAAAGTGAAGTCAGGGCCCTGTGAGTGGACACAAGTGCAGCACAAGTGCATGGACACAGATGCACAGACACAGCTCGGACACGTGTGTGTGAGCACAGGCGTGGCACAGGTGCATGGATGCAGATGTCACACAGGTGCACAGACATAGGTGCATGGACACAGGTCCATGGATACGGGGACACACATACAGGCGCATGGATGCAGGTGCGTGCACACAGGGACACAGATACGGGGCACTGAGCCGGGAGCATGGGTGCAGGTGCACAGACATAGGTGCATGGGTGCGCAGGTAGGGACACAGGTTGATACTGGTACACGTGGGGGCCAGTCATCAGTGAACCCCACATAGATTTGCTGTAACGCACTGACACCTGGAGAGGAGCTGGAGCCAAGGGTGAGGCTCTGGAAAACAGGCTTTTAGGCAGCGTATGAGACCCCTGGTGGGGCACACAGCCACTGGCCAGCTGACCACACAAACACCGCTGCAGCCCCAGCGTACAGATGAGGAAACTGAGGAGCAGAGAGGGAGTAACTGAACAACCCAGAGAGGCAGCAGTCACCTGGGTCCAACCCTGGATTAGGGGTCCAATGTCTTCTGAGGCTGCTGAAGCAGGAGGAAAACAATCCTTTGCCAAGCAGTGGAGGTGCTGGGGAGGCAGCATGGGCTGACCCCGGTGGGCTCGGCTTTGAAAGATGACCACACTCTATGCAAAGGGCAAGACACACCTACCCAAGGCAGCACGGCGGCCTCTCTGTATTACATTTTCAACCTCCTTTTTTTCAGTTCCCACTGGTGCAAACTCCACCTCACCCACAGGCTTCCAGGGACCTCCATTAGGCCTGTGAGTTACCGCTCTGCCTGATTACACACTGCTCTGGGGGGAAATAAACACATGACCATGGGACTCAGTATTCAGTTCTTGTGAAGTTCAGCAGCTAATGGCATGCAGACATTCTGAGGGCCACAGGTGGAAATTAGCCGTTCAGTAAGTGGGGCACCCCCACCTGCTCAGCACACGGGACCCCACCCAGCCTGGCTCCCCATCGTCCCTGACTGCCTGCTCTGCACCTGCTCCTGGCCTCCTCTGAAGTTCTGCAGGCTCAGCCTACACAGCAGAGCGATCTGGCCTCCTGAGAGCACAGGCACTTGGCCTTAGGAAGCGCTTCCTGGGCACCAGGCACGTCTGTGACAAGGGGCTGGGCAAAGCCGGACAGGGCAAGTGCACCGCCCTCACTGAGCTCGGTCTCGGAAGAAAGCAGTCCTAGTGTCAGGGCTGGGTGGGGCTGCAGTGAACAACTGGCCTAAACCCCTCATTTTTTTTTTTTTTTTTTTTTTGAGACACAGTCTTGCTATGTAGTCTAGGCTGGCCTTGAATACACAATGTAGCCCAGGCTGGCCTCAAACTCATGATCCTCCGGCCTTAGCTTCCTGGGTGCTGGGATGACAGGCATGTGCCACCACGCCCGGCTTAAACCTCTCATTTTATGGACAAGGAAACTGAGGCCCAGAGGGTGACAAGACTTTCCAAAGGTACATATGGAGGTACTGGCAGAACTGGCCCAGTAGCGGGTTACCTGACCCCTGGGTATCTACAGGTGTCCACGGTGCCTGGGCTGACCGCCGAGTGTCAGATGGGCCTAACCCAGGGCCGGACCTGAGTGAGGGTGAGCTGGAGTCCAGCCATGGGCCTAGGGGGCGGCCTTGAAGACTGAAGGGCAGTGGGTGTTTGAGGGTCTGGTGGAGGGGACAGGGGGGAACCTGGGCAGAGAACAGGGCTCGAGGTGCAGGGCCCTACGGCCATGTGTGTCTCTGGTCAGGATTGGGGAGGGGAGTGGACTTGAGCAGGGCATGCTGTGGTTTGGACCATCCACTCCAAAATTCAGAAGTTGCCGAGTAATGGCGTTGGGAAGTGGGGTCCATTAGACCTTGGGGCCCCTCCCTCACCTGTGGGATTAGAAAAGAGGTTCCACACAGCCACTGCTCACGGCACTTCCCCCGCTGCTGCATGAGAGTGCAGCAGGAACCCCTCACCGGATCCCAGAGGCTGGCGCCTTGTGGTACCGAGGTATTCCTCATAGATTTGATCGCTCATATTCCTAGCCTGTGCAACCGTGTGCAGTAATCTGACTTCTATTAATCTGACTTCTGTGAGCTGCCCAGTCTCAGCTACTCCGCTACAGCCACGCACAGACCCAGACAAGCAGCATGTGGGCTGTGGGGGGCATGGCCGGATGCGTGCCGGGGGTCCGGAACCACATGCCTGATGGTTTTCTGCCTGTGGCGCCCGCTCAGGCCTCACATCACAGTTCAGAGGCCACTGCTGCTGCGGTCCAGCTCTTAGGCTCACACAGCGTCCGCCCTCCTCAGCTGGACATGTTTTTAACTGTCCAAGTGTTCGCATCTGATGTTAATCAAAGCAGTGAACAAGAGAGAGATGATTCAGGGGTATAATTTGTAGGACTGCAGTTTGGATCTTTGGACAAAAGATAAACTCTCTGATTTTCATTTCTACCAATCTCCTTAAAGGTTTAATCTTTCTTCTGCCACTGAAAACCCAGAAGTCAGATGAGGATGAACGCTATAAACTGAACTGGATTAGCAAAACTCAGTTATGTCTTATGAAGTTTTCCATTTGCCATAATACATTGATTTTTCAGAAACTGAGACAAACTGCAGGGAGGCAGTGTGGCCACAGTGTTCTCACCTCATGCCCGTGAAGACCGCAAGAATTTATCTGCATCATTTGTGCAATTCCTGGCTTGGTGCTGGCCTGTTCATTGT